GTGTAAATGCTAATGTTTAAAACCAAGATTAATTCGTTGTAATAAAATGTTCACCTCTCTATTTTATTTATTTATTCATTAATTCATTCATTTTATTCATACTACTTACGATTTTATATTGAAAAAAAGTTTTTAGTTGACGATCATCTCTAGCTTTGCACTTTTCTATAGAATTTTGTAAAATTTTCATACACACTGTAATATTTAAAATCATTTTGAAGATAACTGGTTGATCGAACCACAGTATGATGTACATTTCCAGTGCACTCGATACATACTTCAAGGAACTCTACCAGACCAAAACAGATAGATAATATAGATCTGTTGTATCCAAAACGAAACAATATATTACAATTCATCATTTGTCTGATAAATCCTACATTATTCTAGCTGTGGAAATTCATGAGAAATCCACATTTACAAGCTTGTTGAATCTGCTACATTCTTAATTTAAATGATTATTTTTATTCCTGATGTAAAATCAATCTTACAAATTATTATTAATTTCATAAAATCAAACTATACGCTAAAAAAAAAATAAAGAGAAAAAATTACCTCTCTGAAAGCCATGTGATATATCCATATAGTAAATATAACCAGCCGTCTGATAGTAATTAGTTATTACATGTACCTGTATCAGGTAAATGACGTTATTGATTATCATCTATGTTTCATTATAATGTCATGTAATAAGTACAATAATAATCCTATAGACTTTAATGATAGTACTTTTCTATAATATTGATAATCAAGTCGATATGATTACACACAAAGCTAAGGAAAATAACAAACTGCTGTTAACCATTGTTTTAAACACGAGTTCATTTATTTTCAACAATGAATAGGATTATTCCATGAATTTATCAATTAATGATTGAAATGTTAATACATACATCGGTTAGTAGAATACACATATAAGTTTACGACAATAATCCTAGAAAAAATATTCTGAAATGTTACTAAATGAATTCGTTCACAATAGGTGAACATTTGTATAGAAAGCACATAATATCGGCCAAAAAATGTTCTTAGATTTGTCTTAAAGTCATCAAATCTCCAATTTCAAATCCATAGATTTTTCTTGATATCTGACACTGTTCAAACTAGAAATAACGTTGCAACCTTTTAGTCATGACGTCAATCACGTGCACCCCATGTTCTTTTGGAGCGAAAAAATGAACCTCATATTAGAATGTTAATTTTTCTTGTCCTGAATATGCTAAATATTTGCACCTGGACGTTACACAAACAACAACAAATCAGCCCTGAGTGACAGTACTGTAACAATGCCCAAATGAAAAAAAAAAAAACATTTTTACTTAAATAAAGTTGCACAAAGTTTATTCAAAGTTATTGACTCATCTAAAAGAAATTCCCTCCTGCTTTTTATTCATCAACATTCCATTACACGCTGCGTAAACGTACACAATGTAAGCAAGAACACATGAGACGACAATGAAGGATGACAATGCATGGACGTCGTGGAAAATCGATTTACGGCAGTAATATAATCGAGTCCCGTTTTGAATTTCAGCTGTGATAAAATGTTTGTCGTCACAGTTCGAAAACATCTTTTTCAAAGACTAAATTATTGACAAAATTACAGTAAATAAGTTAACATTTTCGTTCTATAAAGTTATAATATCCAGTTTACACAGTAAGTAAGATTTTCTATGTTTATGCAATATACCTCTTACATTCAAGAAATATACAGTAAAAATCTTTTTCCAATAGATTGGAAAACTCTCAAGTGCATTGATATCGTCAATTGTCACAGGTGCAATAAATAATTAAAATGCGTGAATATGGAAGTACCATGGGAGTTAATAAAAATTCTCAGACTAAATATAAAAATAAGAAGATGTGGTATGATTGCCAATGAGACAACTCTCGACAAGAGACCAAATGACACAGAAATTAACAACTATAGGTCACCGTACGGCCTTCAACAATGAGAAAAAAGACTATTTTAAATTTTATATCACTAATGCCAGATAGATACAAGATGTGTATGTTGTGTAATTCTTTCGTGAAATAAACGTATATTTTACTGAAGTAACACGACCGTGTCACATTGAAGCAAGATGTGCTAACCCCTTCTGCAACAACAGATATCACCCCTTGTTGTAGGTGGGGTGCGTGTTGCTCAGTCCTTAGTTTTTTTATGTAGTGTTTTGTAGTACTATTGTATACTGCTGTTTGAATTTTTCTCGTTTTTTGCCATGATTTTGTCAGACTATTCTTGACTTATGAGTTTTGATTCTTCGTTTGGTACTTTTCGCCTCTTTTTGCAATTGGATGATCTGCAATATAAAGATGTATACCGCTTCCCTATTATTTAGAGCAACCAGGTAATTAAATACGAAGACTAGCAGATCACCATTCATCAAAATGTAAGAGCTAGCAGATCACCATTCATCAAAATGTAAGAGCTAGCAGATCATCATCGGTCTAAATGATAGTTATCCCATCGGTCTAAATGATAGTTATCCAAACGGTATAAATGATAGTTATCCCATCGGTCTAAATGAAAGTTATCCCATCGGTCTACATGATAGTTATCCCATCGGTCTACATGATAGTTATCCCATCGGTCTAAATGATAGTCATCCCATCGGTCTAAATGATAGTTATCCCATCGGTCTAAATGATAGTTATCCCGTCGGTCTAAATGATAGTTATCCCATCGGTCTAAATGATAGTTATCCCATCGGTCTAAATGATAGTATCATGGAACAGACAGCTTATCCCATCCGGTCTAAATGATAGTTATCCCATCGGTCTAAATCATAGTATCATGGAACAGACAGCTTATCCCATCGGTCTAAATGATAGTATCATGGAACAGACAGCTTATCCCATCGGTCTAAATGATAGTATCATGGAACAGACAGCTTATCCCATCGGTCTAAATGATAGTATCATGGAACAGACAGCTTATCCCATCGGTCTAAATGATAGTATCATGGAACAGACAGCTTATCCCATCGGTCTAAATGATAGTATCATGGAACAGACAGCTTATCCCATCGGTCTAAATGATAGTATCATGGAACAGGGGACCATATCTTAACACTTTCTCTTTTTATATCATGAGTATTGTTAGTAAAAAACAACGTTACCATAGGTGTCAAGACAAACGTATCAACCGTAATAAAAGAATTGAACACCAAAACTTATTTTACACGTGATGATCTTTACATTATATCTAAGAACAAGAACAATGGTAGACATCAACTGTAAAATATCAAACTGGGTGTAGTACCTATTTGTAAATTACAAAATAATTTTCAGAGTGTTAGACAATATTTTATCCACGTTATGAGTGTACGTGTATCATTATAGCCTTTTGTTACCGCAGGTTGTACCCTAGTATTGACAATGAGGATCATAAAACGCATTTCTTAAGATAACACTATAACAGAGGTAATGATTTTATTAACTTATATAGTATATATGATGAATAACAAATACCGTTCAAAAATGTATATATATATACCTCTCTATTTTGATAACATATAGCCAAGTATTATTTCGTATGCGTATAAAAAACCAAGAAGAAATTAAATTTATCATTTTATATATATACGTCGATGACAACAGACGCCAGTGTAGAAAAATAATCCCTTTTCAAAATAAGACTATAAAACATCGTAGTTTAAATATGACATCTAAAGCCATGTTATTACAGGGGACCTAAAAATAGTCCAAGACCGAGCGGTTATAAAATTTCAGAAAAAAAGGAAAACAAATATTGCCGTCCATCGAAAATAAATAGGAAAGAGTGTCGACAGTTTTTTAAAGGTTCTCTTTTGTCCTATTGTTAAAATTGGTGTAAACGGGTGAAATCAAATTAAGGTAAAGGTTACCAATTTAACACTCTAATTAAATCTTTAAATATTGTTTTTATTGGTATAAATATTGATTTCTTAATCAGTTAATTGAAACCAAACTAATATTATTGTTATATACATATACATATGCACATTCACGATTCTACATTCTGTCGATACCTGTATTTTGGCATTTCACAAGATCATGTATTTCTCTGACTGTAAATGACGTCTTTACGCTAAATCCATTGGATGTTGGATGTGTATACTGATTTGATTTTTTTTTATTAGTTGTTATTGGCTTTGAACTAGCTGTCAGTAACTGCGAGTACTCTCAGATCTGCACTTAGTGTCCTTTTTTGTTGTAGGGATGTATAAATACCCTGCCACGTCCGATCTGTGTTTTTGTTACTTGTTTTTCTGCTTTGTATCGATCAGATGAGTTAAGCCCTTTTCATTTGGTTTTTATAGTTTGTTCATATGTTGTACTGTTACACCACTGTCCCAGATTAGGAGAGGGTTGGGAGCCCGCTAACATATTTAACCCCGCCACATTCTGTATGTGCCTGCCCAAGTCAGGAGCCTGTAATTCAGTGGTTGTCGTTTGTTGCTATATATCATATTTGTATTTCGTTCATTGCTTTTTACATAAATCAGGCCGTAAGTTTTCTCGTTTGAATTGTTTTACATTTGTCATTTCGGGGCCTTTTATAGCTGACTATGCGATATGGGTTTTGCTCATTGTTGAAGGCCGTACGGTGACTTATAGTTGTTAACTTCTGTCATTTGGTCTCTGGTGTAGAGTTGTCTCATTGGCAATTATACCACATCTTATTGTTATATGAATATAGTGGTTATTTGCATATCACATTTCGAAAATAATTTATTTTAGAAATTATTATTAGTGTTGAAAATACTCCCATTTCTAGAATCATAAATAAACTTAAAATATTTGGAAAGCAAAGTGTTTTGTGTTTGTATCAACCGGCAAAGCAGCCTTGATGTGGTGGTGCATTGTATGGCATACCTGTTTGGAAATCATACCACATCTCTTTATTTTGTACAAACTTATACTTCTGAGGAACCCATGCATTTTCTCTTAGCTTCTGTGTAGAAGATCACAAACTTACGTTCCTTTTTTTTTATTCCATTATGGTTCATATATACCTGTCTTATTGTGTTCTGATATCATCCTCTGTATTCCAATTTGCTTATTTCCCCTTTATCGTAAAGTTTTCTTAGTGTTATTTTGTCAAAAACTATTTATCTTCTTTTTTACCGTGCCTAATAACAAAACAACAAAGCCAATATTTTCACTTGGACGGTTACCTAAATATGATCGCTTATTTTAATACCAATGGTCCATATCAATATATGCTAATGTAAATTATATTATACTAAATATTGACAATGGCTGTGTTTATCAAATAATTTATAACTTAAAACTTGCTGGAACTCCCTCAATATTACAAACAAAGATGTTCTTAGATTTTAGATGTGTTTTGTTAGTGTGCTTCCAAAATGTATTGAGATTTGTTTCGAGGATAAGCGAGGAAGGATGTCCCTGCGTAATGAAGGTTGAAACAATGATGATGTTTGAGAATAGTGTAAACTTCATGAAACAGAACCGTTTACAGTCAATACTTTCGAGAAATTATGTTTCAAGTGACTTTATATTGTGTTATTTGAGTAAAAATATAAAATACACATTAAAAATCATTTCCTTACCTGCAATCACAGATATTTCAGTGTCAACAACGAGTTTAAATCAGCTTGAATGGGGACATGTGACGGCTATAAACTTTTGTACTATTTAAATATCTCCACAGATGTAAATAGTGTATTAAATTTCATTTTGTACGCCAATACTTTATAATACCACATATTTGTTCTATTCTTTCCGCTACTCGTTTTCAGTTGTAAAGAAACAAATATCAAAAATAACATATACAGGTACCTTGTTCTTTTGTCAAGTTCAGCAACGACTTATTGACCTCGTTAGCTTTTTATGTCGAAAGGTTCTTAGCACGGTGACCAGACTCAATATTTAAAAAAATTAATCGTCAAACATACTATATAGCTATATTATATATCGTTGGATTCATCAAAATAAGTACTTTCGAAATATCAATGTCGTCAAAAAGATATGTGGTAACAGTTTTGGATAAAATAAGGTCAAAGATCAAATACTGTGTTCATTTTTTCTTCTTCTTTATTTTCAAAATGTAAAGATATATGTAGAAGTTTATGTTAAGTTTCAGATACAGACATCTTTTTATATCAAATACCAATGAATTATCTCGAAAGCGTAAAAAAAAACCTTTCAAAACCTCGATTTTTATGAAAATTGACGTTTTTCACACACTTGTTCTACTATCCAACTGGCAAGATCAATACATAGTCCGTTACACTTACAGTAGTTATCTTGCTTGGTGAGTTTCAGCCTTTGCAATAAATTATAAATATTGTTTTTACTTGAAGATTACTTACTACCCTGAACGCGTATTTGACAAAAGCTCATGCATGTAATTCATAAAACCCAAACCACTAAATAGCTCGCAAACAATTACAATAAAGCCAATACCATTGAAGAGGTCCAAACAACAGAATTGAGCAAGGAGTTTGTTCTGTTTCATCTGTCGTGGAATATGATTGGGAATTTCTGCATAATTTGACCCCTGACAAGTGCACAGCTCCGTACATGTAAGGTTGAGTTGTGAACAAACACAATCATGACCTTTTACATGGAGATTTCCCCTTACATGAATAAAGGCAACAGTAGTATACCGCTGTTCAATGTTCATAAATCGACTAAGCGAAAACAAATCCGGGTCTCAAACCAAAACCGAGGGAAACATGAACACACAAGATCCTGAAAGAATTTGTTGACATATGCCTTTCAAAATACATGGGGTGCAATGTATTGTTATTCTCTCGCCATCCATACTCTAAAGGTGATGGAATAGGGGGTTTAGCAATGTGTGATGCGGTCCATATTTTAGTTTGAAAAAGCACATAAAACATGTTGTTTCAGTGCCGCATCACGGGGAGGCAACCTGACTAGACTTACATCTTTACTGGTGGTAAGCTTGACGCGCATTTTATTCATATCATGGTGTTTAGTTTAAACATATTTTATTTGCAAAATTAGCAAAAGGGATTGGACACAAGTTATACCAACATTAGTGACGTCCTCTCCCTATTTAAATATAAACACAAAGTACATTAGATAATGACGAAAAACATAGTAGGAATGCATGTATAAATACAAACTGCAAACAAAAACAAAAAAACAAAAAACAAAAAAATACAAAAAATACAATGTAATATGGAATATAATATATAAAACTGGACTGGAGTGAAGAGTTGGAAAGTTGGAATTCGGAATGTTAATTGATTGTTTTAAATCTTTGTGTTATTCTGATATATGCTTGTACAGACTCAAAAATTTCTTTGTTTTGCTGAAAAGAAAGGTCACCGTCACCAGCCAATAGAAGATCAATGGATATAGCATACCTTTCTAATTTTGAAAACAATATTCCTCTTGCTTCGTTGTAAAAAGGGCACTCAAAAAATAGTGAATACTATCCTCAACAGGGTGGCCACAGCTGCATGCGGGACTGGGTTTAATATTAACACGATGTAAATCTGAATTTAAAGAACTGCACATATTTCTCAAACGTGTATGAATGATATTAAGATTTCTATCACCACAACTGAAATAGGTAGGTGGCTGTATCAATTTAGACTTCATCTTTCGTTTAAACATATTTATATTTTTGGACGTACGTATGTCGGGGTTTAGGCTATTCCATTCAATAGTAGTAGATGGAAAAAAGGATTTTCTGGTTATATCTAGTCTAAAACTTGGTACTACATAATTATTACTGTTTCGCAAATCGTAATTAGATATTTGACCAACAAGTGGGGGCATTAAATCGCAGAGATAATCAGGGGCAGTCCCATTATGGTGAAATAATTTATTTTTTCTGATCATAAAGCTTTGCAACTAACTTTTTTACACATACAAAGGCTTAAGGCCACCAAAATTTGGAGGAAAAAAAACAACCAAAGAAATTAAGGAGAGCCTGTTTGTTTTGTTTATCAGACAGGAATTTCTTCCCGTTAAGAATACTTCTGCCTTTTATAACCTATCTTTGTGCGGCGTTCCCGTTCAGCAGACTTCAAAGAGTTTTTTGTGTCGTAGCGGTCAAAAACGTCTGCAGCTGTGAGCTGCGACAGAGTAAAGCATTGTTCAAATAGTCCGCTGCAAGGTCACATAATGTTTTATTTATTTTAGCATCAATACATTGAACCAAAGGAAGGTATAAAAAGTGCAGAAGAGACTTTAGATTCGAATTGCTTCACCAAATCAGACTTGGAGATTTCCTCAAGGTGCCGTCATCGTAACTAGAATGGAACCGACAGGTCGAGACAGCACATATTCTATTGTAACATCATATATGCAGTTTGCCAAAATCAATGCACGTCTGAATACAAGTTCTGGATTTATGTAACTAAGATTATTTCCCCCGATTTATATTTAAGGTTTGTTTTTGAGGTCATATTTTCAAACGTTTTTAATTTTAACTTTGATATTGGACTATAAACCCCTTGGTAGACCTTAATAAAGATCACTAGTTATTAAATGTTTAGAAATGTTCACGTTTTCCTCGACTGTATGCATTCCAGATGAGATATTGATAAGACATGGAGGATGGCATTCGACACCAAAGGGATCAGTCATGATTTGATCCAGATGGTTTACAATGACAATACAATGTTCTTCGTCTCTTGTCATTGCTGTTGGTCTTGTTTCCTCGTGTGAATTTGCATTATTTGCAGCAATACCAGCCATAAATCAACTAAAGGATGTTAAGAAATGTCTTTTTAGTGTCAATCTAACTAGTGCAGACTTTTGATTTGTTATACCTAAAATGTCACCTGATCCCTTTGAATCTTTTATAGTGGTCTTTTCTGTTGCCATGTCGGTCCATATACCGTTAAAATGTCCCGGAGTCTGTTTAGAAGCAAAGTCGCCAACAATTCAAGCCAGAATTTTCTCTGGAAGTTGAAGCATATCGAGTTTGTACACTGGCATCCACCTAGAGTAATTGGTACGGTTGATGACAAAAAAAATAGGTAACATTTGAGATGACGATCTCAAAGGAAGTGACCAATTACCTTCTCGTTCTGCTCTTACATTTGACAGCAAAATTTCTACAGCTTCAGGAAACATATCTCAGTATTTGAATGTAGGTTATGCAGCACATCCACCTTGCTTATATGTATCTATAAGAGGATGTATATGAACTTCAAATAACTCCGTCAGATTAGGCGTTAGGCCTTGTATCTGGCTTGAATTGTTGGCAATACCACTGTGAAACTCCAACAAAGCATTCCAAGTCGAAATTATGTTTCTGAGATAAATGAATTTAATATTGTTGTTTAATTAAGGTATAAAATATTATATTAATGTCAATTTTTCTACTTTTAACATAAAAAACAATTATGAAATTGAATCGAAACGTACTCTTATTAAATGCAAAATATTTCGTAGTGTTGAACTTTTATAAAAACTCTCCAAAAACGAATAAATTGGTCAAACTTTATTTGAAATCGTTAAAATAAAGTGGAACAGCAGTGTAAATAATCATAACAGAAAGCATATCACGAATGTTCTTTTACAATGCAAACCTAAAAACTTGTTAATGTCAATTATTCTTTAAAATAACGGCTCACGTACTTTAAAGCCCATTTTACAAAAATTGCACCATACGATTTTTTGACGACAAGTCAAAATGTAAAGTTTAGACTTTTAACTACCAATGTTGAGATTTATAGCCATATAGTCAGAATGACAATTAAACACTGTAAATATGCGACTTTTCCTCACTCGGTCACCGAACTAGCAAACATATTAAGAGTATATTCACATAAAAGTTAAAAGATACTGTTTGAAATTTTCGTATATGTATACAATGATCTACAATAATAATTTGTATCGACATGAGCATGAAAGTATTAGTTTATATATCAATATAATACATCCATGATATGAGTGACTTGCCTGATTCTTCAAATACTCAACTTATTTAGATATCATTTCACTAAAAACATTTCCACATCTCGGCAGGGACGTTAAATCCGATACCCCCTGTAGCACTAGGGAGAGGGAGGTGCGCTTAACTTAATTTACCAGCATCTCAAGATGGAAGACGCTGAAACTGATGAATGGAGTTTTTGATTCAACTAATTTATGCTCCCATCCGAGAGAAAAGTATTATAAAAGTTGTGTACATCAATAGGCTTATTCCCTACAATAAAAAAAAATATGCCAGAAAAATTGGAAAGATGCGCGTAACTGAAATTTTGCGGTAATGGTAGTTGTTTTTGTAGGAATTGTAGGGATGTTCATTACTGTGTTAAAATACGCATAAATTCATCAAGTACAAAATGTTTCAAGAAACTTATTTAGGACAATATATGAAATGGTATTAGATTCTGAAATCTCTATTGACTTAGAGAAGGGCGCGTTACCACTGAAAAACACGTGAAAAGTGGGTGGGTAAATTTAATGTTATGTCTTAAAATAACATTTGAATAAGCCACATATGGACTATTATAAACAATTGTTGCACAGTTTCTTTAAAGTGCAGTGAATTGGAAATTTTCGAAAACACATACACAAGACGTTATTTTATGGTCGTTAAATGTTTCGTTCCTCAGATATAATATTTTGTTTCATCAATATAAAACAGTGCATTCCATCAAATAAAATATCCTTATTAAATATAAAAATAAGAGAAGATATTGTCAAAATTCCTGTAATTTAGGGCCTGTTTGGTTATATATGCAAAAATTTGCTCCTGCTGTTTCAAGTTGTTTCAAGTGAGATGACGATACATTTCTAAAAGAACCAACGGAAATCTATGTACCAACATTACTATCATGTGTGCCAATCAGCACTTACTAAAATGATATTAGTAAAGGGTTTCATATTGACCACGAATTAATACCAAATATAAAATATCTAGCCATGTGATTCAATGAAGAAATGGACAGCAGGCAATGCGTGTTGGTAATTGATTTTGGTGTATACAAAATGCGCATTCGTATACAACATATCTAATGAAATATGACAAGTGTACTTCAGATTGGATCGAAGTGGATGAAACACAGGCACTTGTCTCTGAAAAAAAATCCCATATACCTTAATATAACACGTGTTATACAAATGTATATAGGCAATTGTTTTTTTTTCAGAGATAATTGCATGTAGGATGAAAGGGTGAAATCGGGCTGATTGATGCTACGAGTTCGAAACCTTTCGGCTCATTTCATTCTGAAGTTTGCATTGGTTTTTTGGTTTTGGTAATGAGTAAACTTTTTTAAAGACCAGGTACGTATGACTTTATACAAATAATTCCATACAAGTTCGACTTAAAAGGAGGCAAAAATAATAACAAACTGTAATGTATTTGTTCTGGACAGAACTAGAAGACACTTTCTTTATGTGCTTATCACCGATAGTATCCAGAGATAAACAAATAAGTGCCTGTTTCTCCGACTAAAGGGTACGAATCTCTCCCAATAGTTGTCCGTTTGGCGGGATGTATAAATACGCAGCCACATCAGATCGGAATAGAGATGCCTCGTGTAGAGAAGTACTTCTACCGTTGAATGACTACCGTCATTTGGTTGATTTTTCTGTCACTTTTAGGTGACAAGTATCATGCTCTTTGGAAAAAAAAGCATGTATCATATACTTTCCATGTAATTGCTAGATATATTAATATAAAATAAGGAGATGTGGTATGTTTGCTAATGAGACAACTATCCAAAAGAGACCAATGTGATGTAGATGTAAGCAACTACAGGTCACCGTACGGCCTTCAACAATGAACAAACCACATACCGCATAGCAAGCTATAACAGACCACGACATGACAAAATGTAAAACAATTCGAAAGACAAAACCAACAGTCTGTTTTATGTACAAAACAACAAACGAAAAACAAATAAGATATACAGCAACAAACGACAACCACTGAATTGCATGCTCCTAACTTGATACGGGGGTGTAACAGCACACAATAAGAACCAACTATAAACTATATCAATGATCATTCTTAATATGGCTGTATCACGAGGATCATATACCAATACTAGATCATAGATGAATTATATCGCAAGAATCTATACGAAGAATTGTCGTTTCACATCAAACTTATTATTGTTAATCCAATCACAGGAATTTATTGCCACACAAGCTGCATCATATGTCAAAAAAGATATATGTGTTATTTCAAAAGAAGCTACAGTTGCACAACAGCAATATGCAGAAGACCTGGATATCTATTCGTACCGTTGCTTTGGTTGTTTTTCACACATGAAGCTTTTGTTTCTACTTTTTCAAACCCTACCGTAATAGTTTAGGATCACTTTATTTCATATTTTATGAAATATGTTGATGTCATTTTGGACTATGAATCAAACTTGATATCTTCATTATTTTTTCATACGCAACATGCACTCCAATAAACATTATCTTTGAGTGAACTCAGGTACTCCGAATAGTATAATAATTCCAGCTCCATTAGTGGAATATATAAGGTTCCTCATGACAAGAAAACTGAAATTCGACCTCAGTCGTATTCGATAGTACTAATGGAAAAAGGAGGAAATGACAACGACAAATAGAACCTGTCCATGCATGGTCATCTGTAAATAAAGGCAATAGTAGTATACCGCTGTTCAATAGTCATAAATCGATACACAGATGTTCAGTAACGTTTAACCAAGTCATGACGGCGATCTGAAAACTTTGGAAAAGATGAGTGAACTTTAGTTGGTTACAACTTTGGAATATCGTATTAACTGAAAGATATATGCCTCATAGGCAGGTGCAGCTGGAATGTTGCTTAAATAAAAATGCTGAGATTAAAGTCCTCTCTTTTGTCGTTTTAATTCAAATATCTCAACAGACCTTCGCTTGTGCCATGCACGCGGTATGTAGTAAGCGTACTTGTATTTTGATTCAAATTTTGTTTTGTTGTGATAATGTGGTCCTTGTATGTGTATTGTTTTACATGAATTCAGACGTACATATCTATTACAAGGGCATTTTACTATACACATTAACATCAAATTAAATATTTTATTGGAAAAAGCACATTTTATATATATGACAATGCGTGATCAAAGTGTACAACATATAAAAACGATGACAAATAATATAAGTAAAACATCATACACAACAAGTTAAAATTGATGATATGCTATAACCACAAGTACATTTTATTACTTCCATTTCCTATGTATATATGTCTCTGGGTAGACCAACTGACATTATGTGTTATTATGAACTTCAAAAGCTTGACTCAAATAATTACATATCTGTCTGGCATTAACAAATTTTCCAGATTAAATAAATATATTACTGATTTGATATCATCATACTTAACTTCTCTCGAAGGTTTTTATATAGGGGACAATATATAAGGAAGCGCACTTCATCTTCCACTTTGCCTCTGCAAAATATGCTTCAGAATCTTTCAGTTGCTAACGTCTTTGGTTTACTGTACATCCCTGTTTCAATAGCATATGAATGTGCACTAATTCTAATTTTTGTCAGACCTGACCTCTCATTTTTTGTATATTAAGGCTCAGGTAAGTTTTTTTTTAAGTTAAACGAGGTGCAAATTTTAGTATAAAATCTGAGTTTACCTGTGTTATTAGATTTAATATTTAATATTTAATATTGTGAATCCTCAAACACAGTATATGATACTTGAAGTGCATCCAAATTAAGTAACTTTTTAAAATATAAAGATACCAGCCAGCAAGAGCTTTTCTGTAAATACAAATTTTTGTCTTCTTTTAATGTTTAGTATATAAATATTGGTGTTCTCTTCTCGGTACATGCGTTCAACAAGTGTCGATTCCTAAGACAGTATTTAAAAGGCCACTTCAAATTGATTCCTAGTTCTTCTGATTCTCTCGCTCCAATATTTGTACATAAAAGTTTAAAAACAGGCATCCAATTTAGAGTCACGGGCCTTAAGTAAGGATATTAAATTTAAGAATAAAACAATTTTCTAAAGCACGTGAAATATAACTAATACGAAACTCGATTCTCCCTTCTAAACTGGAGAAAGGATCATCCTGCTTTGATTTTCTTCTTGCTTCTAAAGCTATAGTACAAATAAAATTTCATTTTCGAAAATGTACGTAAATTGTATATGACTAACTTTGGTTACTTTATTGTGGTGATACATTAAAGAGAAACTTGAATCTGCCATCATTTATGATTTATATTTGTTGACAATATGATGGACATGCATAGACCAAGCAAGTAATTGTGACATCACACCAAACATTAACTTTATCATGTCATAGTAATGAAGGATGATCATAATTGTTTTCACTTGAATTCAATACACTTGTCATAGAAAGTAATAACAATATACAAGCTAATGTAGATCACTGCATACACATTACGTTTAAGTTAATAAAAAGTAGTTTAACATGTCTAAATGGTATTCTGCTGCGGGCGAAGTGTCGTTTACTTACATAACTGGTAGTAAAAGAATATGTGCAGATATTTCACGCAAATACATGGGAAATCACATGTTATCTTGATTTATTTCTTTCTTCAATGGATGATGTCATTAAGTAGATATGCACTCAGTTAATTGTAATATTCATCCATTTTCTGAGTCATTTAATATAAAAAATCAATTTTGTCAATACATTGATTCCTTTGAAGATACGGATGTAACAGATATTCTTTTCCTCAATTGTGGGGTTACCACTGGAGAAACTGTGTTAATTTCAAAGTAGCTGCATTGATATTTCCCATCTTCTGTTATCTGTGGGCATATATTTTGGAACTTATAACCATAATGAATCTCTTCGGGGATATATGATGTTCTTGTCTGAACAACCCGACTTGTACTCTCAATTACACCGTCCAGACTTACAACAATTTCAGAATATCCCCCTAACCTTCGCAATGTCATCGGTGGCCACAATGGGCTATCTTTGTTTATTGTATGATAGATGACAGCAGGCCATAACAGTGTCAAAGTATCACTTCCTCCTTCTGAAACAAAATCAATGAATGTTTGTTCAAGATGGTGTTTATTGTTGATTACAGAACGCTTTATCAGTATTCCCTTGGCTTTTACACCGACGAGCTTTGATTTTCTAAAGTCTGCGACTCTGACCATAAGACGCCATTGTCCATCAACGACAGCCAAACAAGCTTTTTGGCTAAATACAACAGAGTCTCCTCGCCTCTTTGAGCGGATTAACTTTGAAAAGACAATCGCTGCAGTGAGACATTGCACTCCTATGCCAAGAATGAATTGAATAAATACTACCAATACAGCATGGGGACAGTCTGTGGTCACATGTCTAAAACCATATCCAATTGTATGCTGTGTTTCAACTGAAAATAATAGTGCAGTAGTAAAATCATAAACATTTTCCACACAGACTTCTGCATCTTCATTTTCTAAGTCACCATGACTACGAGCAAATGCGAGATAAATTACGGCAAAAGTGATCCATGTCAATAAAAATCCACTAACAAATAATAATATTGACCATCGCCATTTAGCGTCCACGAGAGTAGTAAATGTATCTCTCAAGTAATGTTTTAATATTGTTTTCCTCGGAGTTTCTAGTTTCACCCTATAACTTCCCTGTTTGCTAACAATTCTATTGTGACTATTAGAAAATATAATGTTTTCGTCCTTTTTTGACATTTTAACATCCAGCTTTGCTTAAGACATTCATGTTTATTCCTATCTAAGCAACACCAAGTATCCCGTATGCGTGTCAGACATATATAGAAAATGAATAATCACCTGTACAGTGACATTAAAGGGATCATAAATTACATGTAAAAGATGACAAATTGTCATTGTTTGTACACAAGTAATTTCATAATACACCAGAACGTTATTTACATGTTTTTAAAAGTAAAAATGAACTTTAAAACAAGAAAGCGAAATAACGACAGCTATGATAATGGCACGTGTAAAAGGTCACTTGCGCAAACATTTTACATATAAGACCAGAAGATCTTTAAATTTCTTTTTAATTTTATTATGGAAAATTGTGCATCGGTTTGTGGTTTTCTGTTTTAAGTTAAAATATTCCATTAGCGATATATTTTTTTCAGATTTCTAAAGTTTATTAAGCATTGTCGGCGGTATTTATAACTAATCATAAATTTATGCATACGGTATGAAATATTGTCTTTATTGTAATACATATGCAATTTTGCAATTTTTTTTTTATCTCACTATTTGATATATATTTGCAAGTTATAAAATTTGCACACGCGTTAATTGGTTGTTGTTTACTTTACGTCCTGTGGCAAGTATTTCATGCATATTATGGACGATAACAAAAATACAAGAATTATGCCTCCCAGGCGGGAAACGGGGACTTGTTACTATATCCCGAGGTCTAGTTGGTTAAAATGAATTTTATTTTACTTTGAGATATTAGTCAAGGTTGTCAACTGTGAGCCCATCACTTCAACTCGTTGTTGTGTGATCCGAAGAGACGAATGAAGATCACATGAAATTAATTTCTTGGTAATTGTTGCTTTTCTTTTTAGTTTTAGTACTTCACTTCAACTCGTTGTCCGACTTTGTGCAATAACAAATTTGTAGATAATTATCAGTGAAACATGTCACAAATAGCCACAGAGATATTTAACGAATGTTTCCCGATCTTTTAACGATTTTGAGTATAACCTGATTTGACTGGTCGTTCAGTTTGACCACTTCAGGTTATACGCACCCTACTGGAGCACACGATATCAATCTTTAGAGTTCATTGTGCATGCATATCTGTTTTGTTTGTTCATTCATATATCTTCTCAATTTTATTTTTTTTGTCCCCCATTTAGCAAACTTTTTACAATAGAAAAGGAACTAAAACCCTCCAGTTTCTGTTGTTGAGATGATTTTGTTCCCCAAATATATATCGCTTGATTTTATTGAATGTTTTAATCTCGAAATATTGATGTTATTGTCAAGTCAAATGTGTATGCCCTTTGAGGCCCTTAATTGGAAAAAAAATTTCTTCTTTTTCTAAACATCCTGCTAGAGGGAAAAGATATAATAAAAAAAATAACACTTTCCCGTCCTTATTTGCGTCCTGGATTCCAAAGAACTAGAAGTTGAATGATTGGAAGTTGGTGTGGCCAAAAATATAACATAGTTTTATGGGTACAAATGTATCATATTCTTCAAAAAGCTGTACACCAAAAACAAACTATTGACAGAAAGGCTGATAACATAAACGTTTCTAGAACTGTTTAAGCCATCACATATATGTATAGTCTTTCACTTGATATAACATAAGGGGATATGGTTTGATTGCCAATGGGACAACTTTTCTATCTGACAGAGTCAAAATGAAGCGGCATTAAACAACTATAGGTCCGCACCATACGGCCTTCAACAATGAGAAAACCCCATACCATATACATTTACTAGCAGTCAGCTATAAAAGGCCCCGATATGACAAATGTAAAACAATTTAAATGAGGAAAAAAACCAACGGCCTGATTTACGACAAAAAAATAAAGACAAAAAAACATGACAAACAACAGCTAACGATAACCACTGAATTACAGGCTGCTGACCTAGGACAGGCACATTCAGGATGTGGCGGGGTTAAACATGTTTGCAAGAGCTCAATCCTCCCCTAACCTGGGACACTGTAATCAGTTGGGAATGGCTTGACCATGTATTACCTGGATATCCATAGAACTGTCATTCATGGTGATTCAATGATAAATATATATTTGTTACTTTGCATCAGTAGTAAGGACGTCATTGTATATAAATGACGTATGACATATTTTTATGTTACTTCATTGTATACGAATGACGCATCACGTATTTTATTGTTATGTAATTGTATGCTACTGATGCAGGATAGACATGGCTATTTGGTGATATAAATTAGAAGGTATTATAAGAACGAATATTGCGAATCTGTAATTTATTTCATACTTTAAATATCTTCGTTACTTTGCTTCAGTAGAATGTTCAAAGTGTATATCACTGTTTATACATGACGCAACAGCGTATTATTTAGTTATGTCTATTTCTACTACAGAAACAAGGAAAACCTTATTAACTGTTGAGGGGGGGGGGGGGGTATGACCTTTATCGGGACTCCGGGATCGGGTGTTTTTAACTCGGGATTTCGGGATTGATCCTTTCGGGATCCGGGAATTCTTTTTTTCGAATTTCGGGATGTCGGGATTTAAAATGTTTAAATTCGGGACCTTGAGATTACATGTTTTTTAGCCCGGGATTTCGGGATCAGGACCCCTCCTACCCCCCCCCCCCCCCCCCCCCCCCCCCCCCCTACTGTTGGACCATTACGAACGGTTTGAGGTAATTTTCAAAGCATATCGTCAGAATGAACAATATTCTGTAACTTATTCTAAAATCTTATTCAAAAAAATGTTTATGCTCAGTATTTTTTGTTTTATTTTTAGGACAAGGTTCACACGCCTCAGAAATCAGAAAAAAATATCATTTTTTTGCCATATAAAACGTCCAAAAACTATAATGGTTTCGCCCTCCTCTAACCTCAAATCCTGTATCCGCCCCTGAATAGCACTATTCATAATCAAATATAGCAACATGTAAACCATATATATGACGAAGTGATGTTTATATTGACAAAAAACGGTAACGATGGTTCATTTGATCTTATTTATGTGATTACTCACTACGGGAAAGCACCCACATAAAAGGTTTTCCAAGTGTATTACCCATAGGTTAAGATATACAAAAACACAAATGCAGTTTAGTTGAATATATTTTTAATTCAAAGTTAACCCACGAATGTTACTATGTATTTATGAGAGGAAAAATAGAAAGCAAATCCCGCTAACATCAGCAGAATAGGCAAACCCATCTAAGGTCAATCCGTCTAAGTCAAATTTGCCTGAGGGAGCTGCAACCTTAGTTTTTATACCAATTACAATGCACACCGTTTTGTAAGCTGAAAATTTACAGACATAATAAATTATTTAAAACATGGCTATTGAACTGGGCGGGTGCACGTTGGTGTAAACTTCATAATTTACTGGATATTGTCTACGTTCGTCATTTATAATAGGAAATCAGTGCATCATTTATCCATCTATAGAGATAGACGGAATAACTGTATACCTCCTTAATTTTTTATTAGAATGGAGTTAGACTAAACGATAAGAACAGTATAAAGAAAACCTATTCCTAGCATATCGATTCTATTCTTATGGGTTTTGTAAATATTAAAAATTGCACTAATGCATTAATTTATTTAAAATATATTCTGATAATACCCGTATATCTTTGGATTGATCAGAATATTGATTAAATATTGCCGCACGACGTAACGAAATCGACAGTTATTGAGCTAAGGGTGTACACCTCTGAGGAGCCAAAAATTTCTAGAATTAAACTTTTTTTCTTCACCCGATTTTTGGGTTTATATGACTTTAAAAAAATAATTGGCGAAGAAAAAATCATATGGTGGTGCACTTCTTTTTTTTCTACGGCCCTTTAAAAGTACCCAATTTTGATGATTTTCACATTTTTCATCAATTTTTACCTGTTTTTGGGCTATTATCGTGAAAAAAATCACAGTTCCACAATTAAATTTTTTTTCATACTTTCAATAAAGATGAAGTGGGCCAATCTGAATAAATTTAAATTAAAAAAAACTATAGGTAGGTGTTAATATAAGAAAGTTTTATCATATTTTGGTGCTTTTTTGTGTCAAATTTACCATGATGTCAATTTTGTAAATTTGTGATTTTTCTCTGTTTTAAGAACAAAGTGCATATTTTTTCAACTTCTTTGTTATAAATGATTGAAAAAATTTATATCTAAGAAATTTGAAAACAAAACAGGGATATGGAATGTACATGTTTCTGGTAAAATCAATTTTTATATCCCTCATCCATTTTCTCAAAATTTTGGCTAAAAAGACTGACTTGATTGGTAATAAAATTTGAAAAATTGATTACTCAAAAACTACTTATTGTAAATACACAATTCTTTCACAGAGTTAAGTTTGATTATAACATTTTTCAAATTCATTGATATTTTCCACTTGTATCCCATATTTTGGAAATAATTCCAGAACGAGATTTCAACGAGACTGAAACGTTTAATCAACCCATATCTTTCATTTGACAATCAAATACCAGACGAAACAACGGACATCAATACAATTACCAAACATGTGTTACTTTTGTAGTTGATATAAACTGGCACATAAATAAATATAATTTCATAATAACAGCTACGCCACTGAGAAGTGATTAAATATATATGAGCTTTAGGGTTTTTGCATTCTTGCATTTCTCTTTTAAAGATTATATTGAATGACCAGTTTATTTTGTCTTTTTTAAACTTTTGTAAACGATTATAGAAATTAACTTTTGAGAACGCAATGATAATAGAATGTAAAAGCTGAAAAAGGATGGTTTCGCCCTTGCTTCGATCATGTGACCAGCGCAGCCAAATAATGTGCTGTTTTGAATTGTAATATTATAATGATCATCTGTTGTATGTATGTGGTAATACGAAAGGTGTAGCAAAATATTGAAACTGGAATGAACTTTCTTTCTTTTATGGTGTTGTGAACTCCAGACTTAATTTAATGACCCATTGGCGGATTCAGGCGGGGGCGTGAGCCCCCCTAAAATTTGCAAAGCATGGGTTTTCCTCGGCTTAATAAAGAATATTTCGATAATTTTACCCTCAAGAAAAAATTTTGCCGAGCGGAGCGAGGCAAAAAATTTAAGTTTGCGCCCCCCCCCCCCCCCCCCCCCCCCCCTGCTAGTTACATTAATGTGTGGACTCAAGTTTTCTAACCAAAACCACCAACAAAATGAGTTTCCAATAACGGCAAATAAACTGTGATGTTTGAAGTTTGGTATTATGCGAGATTATATATTTCAACCAAATAAAATATTCAGGTATGTATGACTTTAGACGGTCTGGATGGGCGTTCTTCATTTCTGTATTCTTGAATTTTTGGGGCATTTTTTTTTCTTTGAAAATAATGCTTATTCTGCAAAATGCTCATGAAAATTATTTTACTATTAAATTTATCTGCAATTATATGATTTCTTTATTCTGTAAATCGCTCGTTTTTGTAATCACTATTGTATTGCCTATTCCCCCCCCCCCCCCCACAATTATTCTTTATATTTCTGCACTCCATTATTCTCTATCTTTATTTGTTGCTATTTTTTCCCTATTTATTATTTTTTTTGCCATTATTCTCTACTATGTAAACCACATCTCATTATAGTTGTACAATGGGCAGAATATATTTAGTTTTCCACCAAATTTCCCTAATATGTTAAAAGGAGAGTGCTATGAAGTATTGGCTTACTTTTAAGGTAAATCATGTACAAATGTGATTAAGATGAACTGCTGACATTGGAATAATTTCACTTAAGATGATGAATAGTTTAAGGTGACCCAAATAAGTAATATTTAATTCATAAATAATATCAACCTACAGGGTATATAGATGTATATAAATAAATAACTTTCTTGATGTATAGTCACCTTCTTCTCTATATTTCACTTGGATTTGTTCTTCCTCTGACAATAAATGAACAGGGAAAAGCAAAATGGTCTGTTTAAAACACATTGCAACAACTGTAATTATAAAGTAAGATTTTAATCTTGTTATAAAGATCATTTGAGGGCAAGATGCTTACTTCTTTTTTTAACAAAATTAAAACTACTGATTTATTACTTTTTTTATTTGAAAACGTCACAAGAAATATGTATAGTCAAATATATTTTGCATCAAATACTGAAAAATCACTACAACATGAAGATACATCAGTATCTATACCTTCACTAAACCCAGACTCGGTCCTTCCATAATCGGAACATTTCGAAGACTGACTTTTATTTATTCTTCTTAGTTTATGATATGGCTCATAGCTAATTTCTTCCACAATTTCTTCTGTTTCATGAAAAAGTTTCAAAGTAAATTCACAAACTCCCGATGAATTTATATTTGCAATCATTGGCTTAAATTTATGCTGCCATTGAAATTCGCTTGGTATATAAGAGGTCCTTGTCTGAACGGTCATTCCAGTTGATTCTATTATACCATCCATTAAAATAATGAGTTCAAGGTCAGAATTTCTCAAATCGTCTTCATCCATATTGTATAATGGACTATGTGGTTGTAGGCGGTGTGTAAGCACTACTGGCCACTGTAGCTGTATCCTACTGTACTTTTTGTCCAGTTTAAACTCCATATCATGTCGGAAGTGTGATATAAAATCGCCATCCGTCGTCAGAGTACTCACTACACAAACAGCACGGGTGCTTGTTTCAATCATATTAGACTTTTGAAGGTCGGCTATTCGAATAGACAGGTATTTTCCATCGTGTTCCTGAGAAATACAAATATATTTACTAAATAAAATAGTATTTCCTCGTTTTGATGGTTTCTGAATTTTTGCGATTACTAATCCTGTTAAAAGTGCCTGTAATAATGCACCCCATATTGACTGTAGCATAATAAAAAATATAGTCCCCGGACAATCATCAGTTACATACCTTGAACCGTATCCAATCGTGGTTTGGGTTTCCATAGAAAACAATAAGATAGCGAAAAAGTCTTGGGCATTAGCAATACAGTTTTTATGACCAGCAACTAAGTCTTCTCTAAAATCACCATGAGCTGATGATATCCCGTAAAATATTCCAGCATAAGCAATCCAAGAAATAATAACACTCATACCAAAAACAGGAAGAACAAGTCTCCATTTAGTTTCAATCAGAGTTGTGAAAAAATCCGTGAAGATGGATGTTTGTTTTCCATTGATAGTCCTTGACACTATGTTACAACTGCCACTACGTTCTACAAGTCTAGGTGTACTTTTGGTGTAAGATTTGGTGGATTTGTCAAATTTCACCTTTCCTTTCTTATAAATTTTCTGCTGAATGCTCTTTTTTGAAACTCTACTAACAGTCGAAATTTTCTTCTCACGTTTAGTAGGAAGAACCTGCTGACTGCGATCCCCATTTTCCATTTGTTGTTGATTTTCGTCAGAATTTTCACTAACTACAGTCATAATTTCAAATTTTCTCGGTGTTTTTCTTCCATCTAATGTGCGACAAGGAATAGACGTGCGCATCACAACTGTTATAATACACGCACTTTGACTTGTTGTAATGTCATTTATGTTTATGATTAATTACAATCCATGTATGTACTTGTATTCAATTTACCTAGGACAGATAAACATGTTAAACGGTCATTATTGGTTTTATCAAAATGTGTTACAATTTTACGTTTTGTTGTATTTTCTTATGAGTACTTTCAATCACAAAAAGAATCGAAAGATTGAAAATGCATTATGACCTATATAATAAAAACATTTTGGTAAAAATTTTGAGTGGACTCCTTTTCTTATTTTGTTCATCATTATAATCATCATTATCATCATCATTATTATCATCATTATAATCATCATTATCATCATCATTATTTAATTATCATTATGATGATGATCATAATCGTTGTTATTGTTATTCAGATTCGGAGATACTCAAGTAATATAGGTGGAACTCATTAAAGCAACAGTGACATATATATATATATATATATATATATATATACATGTCTAAATTGAAAACAACGTTCAAAATATATATATATATATAGATATATTTTAAATATTTCAAATTACATGTACATGTTTGTATCATGCACTAACTTGTCCTTGGATACAAGTCATATGCACAGAATTTTAAATAACGTTTGTATCTTGATTGATCAACAATATAATAACTCAACGCTGTTAACAAATTCCAGAAATAACTATTAACTATTAACATTTTATCTTTAGTTTTATTCGTGATATTTTGTTGATTCGCTGTTGTATGTCTTTTTGTCTTTTTTTTTGGCCATGGTTGTCTATCTTTTTGACATCTTGAATTTATATAGTCCTTGTGGTATTTTTTCTTTTAGTATTTATCTACATATCTGTAAAAAAAATAATCAAATTTCAAAAGTCTAATGACAATTGTATGTATTATGTTGGTGGTCTGTGATTTATTCCTAAAACTTCTTGATAACAACAATGGCACTGTATTCTGAGTTAATTGACAAAACGTTTATTAGATTGCTGTAAAATACTGAAATTTATCTATGGACAGTTTTACCAGAAATTCCAATGCAGCATCGTCTATCGCTTTCATGATGACTAATTTTGATTGATTATAGAAGAAATTAGAATCTGAGTAACAGTTAAAACAAATATATAATTGTTGAGTTTGAAAATGTTTTCATTGCCTCGCTGGATGTGTATCTATCATTTCATTATTGTTGTAAATATGTATCATTGATAAACAATCAAAACGAAAGGGGTGACATTGGATCATCCTGTTTAACTCTGTCACCACCATGCAGCTCCTAATCTGAGTACGCAAAAATTTAATGCACAGCTTTGATAATTTATAATTTTGATATTTTTCAACTTACGTCACACTTTCGTACTTATATGAATGACATTAAATAGATTAGAGAACGCACATCTTGATAGAAATGCGTTACAATTCTTTATGCAACAATGATTGCTTAATTAATCGAGATCCAAACTGGATATCAATAAACTTTTTTGGGGGTCTCGGTCCGTTCATGGAATTATTATATTGACAAGGTCCTTTTATCCAGTCTCTTTGCTAAAACATGAAAGTATCATATTGATACTTTCTAATAATGTCATAGTTAAAAAAGATAAAATACCTTTAAGAGTACGTTAGCTAAAATCAGGGATTCTTAGAATAGGATATGTACGATATACAATTCCTTGCTAAAATAATGAAACGTGTATTCTTTGGGAAAGATCTCTTTAAAAAAGATTGCAAATAAATATTATTAAATTTTCATTCATTTTAACATTTTATATTTACTATTACATATCACAAAAGGATCAGACACAAGTTATTACAACTTAGATAGTCGGACCTCTCCTAAGTATAATAAGTTATAATATATGAATATAAAGACATGCAATAACAACATTAAACAATAATTAATTTGTACAAGTACGCAATTTTCCAAATAAAGAACAGTCTTACGTCACAATACTTATTCACCGACATACTAAACTATATGAATCCATAAGGAAGAACTGACTGAAAAGTATATTGTAAGCTTAAATTAAACCTTAATAATGTCATATATCAACGATATAAATATATAAATTAGAATAAACTTGATAAATGAACACAATTGTTTAGCCTAACTTTGATAGATGAACACAATATTATGACACATCTATAAACTTGCAGAAAAACCACCTTATTAATTACTGCTTGATATATCAACACCACGGCATGCTTTTAGTTTTATTGGTCAACAGCATAGCAAACTAAATAGTATTATTTTAAAAAATCAGGGTCCGCTAAAAGCACAGTATGCTGGAATAAACTCAACCAACACCATAGCAAAAATTCAGTTTAATTGACCAACACATCTTTTTAAGCGAGCGAGATAGACTAACGGCATAATGAACTAGACTAATCAATAACCACAAACAGAACACTTTACTGGTAAAGACATCTTGTACCATATTATCCATTCCAGTAAGTGTTCTACACCCGTTTTGACTTATGCACTAACAACCATTACGTTACTCGTTATGAAATACTATGCCAAAGCTTAGTGGTATTTGGAGTGTGAAAAAAATATTTTGGAGTCTTGGATTAGCTTCTTTATAGTTCAGTATATCTCAATTGTTATGATTTCTCTACCCTTAATACTACACTATCACACAATCTTAGTAAACAGAAGTTTTCCTATATAATAAAATAAACAAGAGTAACAAAGGCTAGAGATTCCTGACTTAGGACAGGCGCAAAAAGGCGGCGGGGTTTAACATGTTTTGTGAGTCTTCAACCCTCCCCCTATATCTCTAGCCAATGTGGAATAAACAAACACACAACAATACTCACAGTAAAACTCTGTTTAAAAGAAGTCTGAGTCCGATGTTAAAATAGTAGACAGACGAAACTAAGCAATATGACAATGATCAATATAAATTAACAAAGTACTACTAACAGTTACTGACATGCCAGTCCCAGACGTCAGTTAACCCATGGAAGTATTATATTTTACTTTCATGGTTAAACTGATCGAAAGATTATGTCGTCAACATATGAAAATCAACCACAATCCATACTGTTCCCAGGTTTAGTATCATGCCATCATAAATTATACGAGAACATAACCCGTATCATGCCAACAGCTGGTTTTAGAAAAAATGTGTTTATTACCGATACAAAGACCCTATATATGAGTGAATAAATATTAATTTTAAAAAATGCCATCTTTAATGACTTGACAACATTATCGTAACTATATCACTTGTGAATAAGTCTGTTTAAAGGTTTTGTTAGATATGAGTGACGACATTTTTGTGTTTTGTATAGAATATTACCATAAAAAATGGGATGTAAAATACCTGAACGTAAAAGATGTCTGCATGTTGATTTATATTTTCGAATGATGGCGATAAAATTTAGTTAAACGTTTGATTATTGACAAATTTGTGATACCGAAAACCCTGGTGTAATCATTTTTCAGTAATACAGGGGTCTCTTTCTTTAAAATCAAATACGTTGTTACGAGCGAATCGAACAAGTTGAGATATATCAAGTAAACACCATACGATGGTGCTAAGGGAACGTCACCATCTTAAATCAGATACTAGTAAGTATTAACTACATACTCGTGCCTAATATAAACAACGCAAATATAATCTTAGTTTGCCGACAGCCCGTCATGCTCGATGGACGCCAGATTGTATTATAAATATTCACAAATATTATTATTATCATTATTACAAAGCATATATAATTCAACATCATACAATTCCTATGTATATATTATCCTAAATACACCAAAAACAACTTTGACTAAATGCACCCCTTCATAGACGGTCAGGGCCGGCCAGGAACAACTAGAGATAAAAAACGATATAATCTATCAAAAAGCTCTAAAAACCTGTGTCAGTGGATGCCAAGTTCGCAATCCCGTCTCCAGGGTCAGGTGCTCTGACCTACACCTTAAACATGTGTGTATTGGCAAATCAAAATGCAATCATAAAAAAATATCAACGTATATACATCAAAAATGTAAGTTGAGTGTTCACTCGTTGCACGACAGCTAGACAGTGACCCTATGCTTTATTACCAGAAAGTACACCCATTGGTCACTATAAGTGACCCTATTATATATTCATACGACCCGTACCCGTCAATACAATATTTTCCCGCTATATTTAAACGAAACGCGGGAAAATACAAGTATTTAAAACTACATACTCATGCCTAATATAAACAACACAAACATAATCTTAGATGCCGACAGCCCGTCATGCTCGATAGAAAACACAAAGAACGGGGGATCAGGAAAAAGGAAACGTTACAGTTTAAGTGTTTGTGACACTTTTAGCCTCTTTTCAATGGAGTTCACAATATAACTATCTTTACTTTTCTCTGTTTTCCACCTCCCGTGTCTTTTTAAACATCTACTATCGTTAGCAATATGATTTGCGGCTGCGGTTGCCCCACCAGAACGAAGTGAATGTAAACCTAAATTTAAATTCCCAGAGACTAGTTTAAGTCTAGAAATAATGTTCTCTCTAGCTGACGTGTAACTAAGCTTTTTATTTTTGTAAATTAATTTACAAGTATTCCCTGCTCTAAAAACAGGCCTGAACAAAAACATTTCTGACCCTTCAACAAAACCTGCTAACCGAACATATTTCAAATACATATTAAAGGGACAAGCAACTGAAAAACCTTTGGAAATCAACACCTCATTTCCTTGCCTATGCTGGTCAGTCTTGCTTTTGTTAAGGTATAAAACTAGAAAATCATCTTTAACTTTCACATCGTTAAAATGTAAAGAGCTTAATTCATCATATCTAAGAAACCCTGCGAAACCTAATAAAGTCATAGTCAAGTCCCTTACAATCAACAAGTCTTCTGAATCTGAATATTTTTCACAAAGTTGTATCAACATATCAGTAGTAACCGGTTCTTTTTTAGTAACAGTTTTGTAAGCAGTACGTTTTGCAGCTTCCTGTATGGATGAAACAAATGAGTTTTCTGTAGAATCGGCTAAACCATT